TGGAAAATTTAGATATTGACCGAGTCCAAATTGACCGAGTCCGTTTGTTTTGCATGAATTTAAAGGGACCATGACAAGATATATGATATTGAAGCATAACTGGATGGACGACTTAGTTGAGATAATAAATTAATTTAGGTGAGTGAAATGACCCGAAAAACTGACTTTTAGGGTTTAGTTGAGATAATGAACTTGGGATGAACAAAAGAACTTGGTTCGTGTAACGTGTATAAAAGTGGTGCATGTTTCGTTTTGGTAATATTAAAGAGGTTGGCAAAGTGAAAGATGTATCTTAGGTGTTGCTTTGTAAAATTTTGGTGGGTATTATTAATAGGAGTCGTGGTGTAGGGATGCTTAGAAGCTGAGAGAGATGCACTCCTGAAATTGAAAGATGCTTTGAATCACCCAAATGGCTCATCACTCTCTTCTTGGCAACGCCATGGCCATGGTGATTGCTGCACTTGGGAGAGTGTTGAATGTGACAACACCACAAAGCGAGTCACGCATCTTTTTCTAAATTACACCAGACCTTATGAATTGAGCAACCTGCAATGGTCCCTAAATGCATCATCTTTTCTTCCTTTTCAGGACCTTCAAGTCTTGGATTTATCTGGGAATTATTTGGCAGGTTATCTTCAAACTTTCATTACATTGTAACCTTTTTATATATATGTCTTCTTAGTTCATTCTTTCATTTCTGGAGCAGGTATATTTGGCAAAATCAGGTTGAACAACTTGCAAAAGTTAAACTTAAGAGAAAACATGCTGACAAAAGTCCCATTATTTGGTACACTACTTATCCATTATTTGCATCAGAAATTTTCCTTTTATTTATTATAATTATTTTTTAATAAAATTTTAATATTTTAAAAATAAATTATCAAAAAATAAAAATAATATCATACTATAGTATAAATTATTTATCATATATATAGTTTATATGCTTAAAAATATTTACTTATATAAATTTTAAATAAATTTATATCAACATTTTAAAAATTGAACCAAACATTAAAACAATTAGCTCACTGGGTTAGTGAGACAGAGATCAAACTGGTGTGTCACTCATTGAACTGCATGACTAGATCATTATTAATTATTTTTAAAAAAAAATCATGTCATATATATTTTATACCTATAAATTTTAATAAAATTTATATTGTCATAAAGAAGTTTCTTAATAAAAATAATCAATATAATAATAATAGAACAACTAAATTATAGGCTCATTGAATCATATAAATTTGAATATAATTAAATATATAATTTTAAATTTAAAATAAACTATATAAATTATTTAAGTCAATTGTATATTAGTTTAATGATCACTAAAGTATTAAATAATTATATTCTTCCACTATTTAGTTTAGTATAGTGGTATATCTTTTTTCTTTTTCATAATTACAAGCCAAACACTTTTTCATGCTAAAATAATCATGCAGTCACATTGTTTTTAGTCTGGCACTAAAATAGCCTTATGAAATCATATTGTTGTCATTAGATTTCTATAAATTCTTTTAAAGTTACAAGATTTCATGCAAAATAATCTTATAAAATCATACTGTTGTGCTAAAATAATCTTATGAAATCACATTTTTTTAGTCTCGCCCATGGATATCCTCCAACACTGGGTTTAGGGTTTAGTCTTATTAAATCACATTGTTTTTAGTGTTGCCCATGGGTGTCCTCCAATCAACTAAACTAGAGACTAATCATACTTGTGGTAATGCAATTATTATTGACCTAATGAATTTTCATACATGATGGAAATCAAACATGAATTCCTTGCTAAATAAACCTCAAAATGTGAAAGCGTAGTGTGCCTAGCCCCTGTGTCAACTCATCAAGTTTTTTTTATCCAACTACTAAATATTTGATGGATGATATAATATTTTGAAAATGTTTTTAGTTTCTCACATTTGGGTCAATTTTATTTTTAGACCTTCAAATTTAAAAGTGAATTTTTTGATCCATCTAATACGAAAATAGTTGATTTTAGTCTCTAGAGTTAACAATGTTAAAAAAAATGGTTAACATGCTTAACAACACATGGTTAAGCCATTTTGAATTTGCGATTTGTGACAACTTTTGACAATCACATAATACCCTTCACCTTTAAACTACATAACCAGGTGGTTCCAAGAAGAAAAATGGAACTTCTAATTTGTTGGTCTCTATTTACTAGTATCTAGAAGGGGGATTGAACAGATTTTATCCTAAGATGACACTATTTTTGAAATTTCTTGATTATAGCCTACTAAGATATTCAATACTCAACCTTTAATCAATATGATTTAACAAGTTATAGCAGATTACAAGATACAATACCAATATAACAAAATTTCAATGTTAACACAACAAATCAGTCACTTGTAATCTAGGTTGATTTTATATTACCAACTTCTTAATCAATTTCAATTACAAAAATAATATTTAGAGTATGAGTGATAATTGAAACAACATATCTCATAAATCTTTGAATTCTTTAATCATATTCATAACAAGATTATTAAAGAGATAAGGGTAAGAAGATAAAGAACATAGAAACTTATACTGGTTCAGTCATCCTCTTGGCCTACATCCAGTTTTCTCTAATTTTGCACCCCACTAAATCAAAGATCATTCACTATAATATTTTTTACAAATACTATGCACACAAAATATTACAAGAATGCTAACACACATCAATCTTGACACTACAAGACTGAAAAAGCATACAAATTTCTGCACCCCACAGAAATTACTTGAGAAATCTCGCTCAAGATTTCATGATCTCTTGTTGAGACATCCAATCTCAAGAGATACACCATACAAAATGAAAATACAAATTAAAAGATAAAAAAGATAACACCTAATTTGTGTAGACATTGATCTTTCACAATTAAATTCACTTCTTGAATTTCTTCCTTCAAGAACACATGTTCAAACTTTACACTTTTAGTATTTCAGAAAAAGTTTCTTTGATCAGCCTATGATTCTTGTTTCTGAAAGTATTCTTTTTCTCTAATGTTCTTTTTCAAAAAGGTTATCTTTTAATTTCATTAAAGATAGGTATTTAAAGTGAAAAACGTAATTCAGTTATAAAGAGTCATAACGAAAGTAATCTGTTACCTAATATGGTAATTGATTACCTGTTCATCTAAAAATTGAATTTTGAACATAAAGTGTCAGGGTAATCGATTATGGGACTTGCTAATCGATTATCCCGAGCTTCTTAGAACCCATAATTGTGTTTCATTCTGTGATAATCGATTATCTCCTCTGGTAATCGATTATCCTAATGAACATCTTAATTATTCATCCTTGTTTCAAGCAAGAAGTTATATTTTAATCTATTACCAGTTATGGTAATCTATTAACACAAATGACATTTGAATATCATTTTCCAGTAATAGACTTGGTAATCGATTACCCTGAATGGTAATCGATTAACAATGTTACCTTGAAAACTCTTGTTTGAATCAAGTCATATTTATATGTTTAAACACTTGGTAGTAAATTACCTTTTCATGATAATCTATTACTTTATGTTTATACATGGAAATACTAAGTAATTAAGTTCTTGGATTGTTAAAAGTTTCATTAATCCTTGAATTAAACATTCATCATCATCATCAATTATAAACAAACACACACACATGCCTATATATATTACAATCAATACAATATTCTTTTTCATAGGCATAAGCAACATCTATACAATACATCATTAAAACTAAAACATTCTTCAGGAGTCTTCAAAATGTCTCATCATATCTTAACATAATTCATTATATAGATTCAAATCAACGTATGAAATATTTTTATAATTATTCGCCAATTTGAATTAATGAAATTAAGTATTATATGATTTTAATTTTTTTAAAAAAATTATTAAACTTTATCTATTCATTAAAAAATTTTAATTTAACAATTAGATAGTTGGTATTCAACATATATCATAAGTTATTGAATGAAATAGCTTTACTGAAATTACTTTTATAATCATTTGATCTCCTTTTATATATATTATTTTGATAAAATTACGGCATATTCCGTATTCATAATATATTTTTATCTTGAGTATTGTTTTTAATCCTAATGAAGTAATTTTAAAGGTAAAAATTCATCAAATTAGGTTTGAGATGTGCATAATATAAAATTATCTTGGATGTCTCTCATGTCTCATAGAAGAAGAATGTAATATATTATGTGTAGTTTCAATAAATCACTTCATCTATTTATTTACATGTTGAGAACTTATTTTTAATGAAATGTAGAGACTTGTTCATTATAAAAAAAATTATATGTATATATTTATTATCAAAATTAGTTAAATGAAACATAGCTTCAACATTTTTATTTTTGAGAAAAAAAAAAAAGAAAATGAGAAACCTTTTTTTTCTCTCCTTAAACTACCCTTACAAATTTTTAAGAAATTAAAAAAATTTAGATGCGTCGAATCATCCAATAATTTTTATACGGTAAATTTGTTGAGTTTCTTAATTAAATGGTGCAAAGTTTAGATAGGTTATTAACTAATTAAACTGAAAAAGAGAAATTGTGCTTTTGATTTTATTTCATTCTTCGGGTTATCATCCAATATAGATTTTCGTGCATTGTAGTATGTAACTAGTTTATATCAAAAGGACTTTTTTTTATACCGTTTTTTATTACTATTTTCTGTTGACACTCAACAGATCCTTCTACTTCAAGAAAATTAAAGTTGTCTTTTGCATTTAATTCCTTGACGGGAAGTCTTCCAGAATCAATTGCGGCTCTTACCTCTCTGACATACTTGAACTTTTACGTCAATCAATTGAATGACTCGTTGCCATGGGAAGGTATTAATTTCATAATGTTTGCTATACGTGAGTGTAAATTGTTTTCATAAGTTTTCTTTTCATATGAAATTCACTTTTGATTACTAAATTTATATAGATACACAGCGTATTTCAATAAATATTTTTAAAAATATTTAGTTTATATTTAAAATTAATTTATCGAATGAAATGTCACGTATGACAGGAGGGTTATGCAAGCTAAAGAATCTGCGATTCTTGGATCTCAGCATAAACCATTTTGTGGGGCATCTTCCACGGTGTCTCTCCAATTTGTCTTTTCTCCATTTACTTGATGTTTCAGATAATAGTTTTGAAGGAACGTTCCCGTCATTCATTTATAATCTCAAGTCCCTTGCCTATCTTTCTCTTAGTAATAACCATTTCAAAGGCACACTTTCATTCAACTTGCTAGCTAACCATTCTAACCTTCAAATTCTTGAGATTGGGAGCTATAACCAGCAGGATTTGAAGGTTGATACCGAGAATCCTCCGTTTGTTCCATCCTTTCAATTGAAGATTCTTCGAGTGTTAAATTGCACACTCAATGAACCAAGCCACATGATTCCCACTTTCCTTTATAATCAACACGAGTTAAGAATGCTACATATTGGCCATAGCAACATGGAAGGAAGGTTTCCGAACTGGCTATTGGAAAATAACACCAAATTGGATTACCTTAATCTCAGCAACAACCTCTTAACTGGTCCTGTTGAGCTCAATGCCGCCACAATATTCTCAAATATGCATATCTTGGATATCTCTTGTAACCCTATTGGAGGAATTCCTCATCACATTGGTTCACTTTTTCCAAACTTGGTGACTTTGAATATGTCCTCTAGTTCACTGCAGGGTAATTTTCCAGCTTCATTAGGTGACATGAAACAGTTGAATAATTTAGACTTGTCACACAACAATTTATCTGGACACATACCGCAGGAGTTTGGCAAAGGTAGCAATGACTTGAGGTTTTTGAAGTTGTCTAACAACAACTTGCATGGCCCTTTCTTGCCTTCTGGATCAAATTTCACCAAGTTGTTATCACTACATCAAGCCAACAATAACTTCAAGGGAAACATACCGGATGGAATCATGAATAGCATTGAGTTAAGAATGTTGGATTTAAGCAACAACCAACTCCATGGAGAAATACCTAGTTGGATTGGAAGTTTTCAGAATTTGACTTTCCTCATCTTGTCCCAAAATTCATTGGAGGGTCCAATTCCAATGGGTTTTTGCAAGTTAACTAAATTGGCATATGTAGACATTTCTCAAAACAATTTTAATGGAACACTGCCTAAGTGTCTCACCATGCCAGACTTGAGGTACTTGCATTTGCAGAACAACAAGTTCAATGGACCAATACCTATTGTTCTGGCCAATTCTCCTTTCTTGTTGACAATGAATTTGGTGAATAACAAATTTTCAGGCCAAATTCCTAAGTGGATAAGTTCATTTTTGAATCTAAGGATTCTTCTTTTGAAGAAAAACAAACTAGATGGTCTCATTCCAATTGATGTATGTCAACTAAAGAACATCAGTATTATGGATTTATCTCAAAATAACCTTTCTGGAAGAATTCCATCTTGCTTGAAAAATATAGCATTCAGAAGGCTTGATTTGTTTGATGGTACGTTACTAGGGAAATTTGTGGTACCATGGGTTACAAGATCCACTGAGTATGTCTTTTTTCCAGACACAAATACTCTTGTTGAAGGTCAAAACATACAAGAGTTTGTAGAATATGATGAACAAGATGTGGATTTCACGTCAAAAAATAGGTATGAAACATATAAGGGAAATATCTTGGATTTGATGTTTGGTTTGGATCTCTCGAACAATATGTTGACTGGTCAGATTCCTTCACAAATAGGATACTTGAAGAGCATACACACATTAAACTTGTCCAAGAATCACATCACAGGGCCAATTCCAGAAACGTTTTCCAACCTAAAGCAAATTGAGAGCTTGGATCTTTCATACAATAGATTGAGTGGTCACATTCCCTCACAATTGACAGATTTATACCAGTTATCTGTTTTCTCTATAGCTCATAATAACTTATCCGGAAGGACCCCAGAGAGGGTAAACCAATTTGCAACATTTGAAGCAAGCAGTTATGAAGGTAACGCTTTTCTTTGTGGACCTCCACTAAATCGAAGTTGCTCTTCTGTTGTAAAACAACCAACACCAGGGATCGATACACCACCTCTTGGGAATGATCACTTCATAAACACCTTTGTTTATAGTTTTCCACCACCATTTTTTGTTACATTTCTTGGAGTCATAGCTTTTCTCTACTTCCATTCATACTTTCAAATACCATAGGAAATTATAACTTTTCCCTGTAGCATACTTAATTGTAGTGGTAGCTGTTGTTGTAAAGTTATAAAAGGGAGATTTTCAAAATAAAAACAAGAGGGAAAACAAATAACAGAGAAAACAACATGTATGGTGGGGTATGCGAGTGTATTTTGTTCCAGATATATATGTGTTTTTACAATGACTTGTGTTTTATCAAAATACAAAGTTATGAACAAAAGGTATGGTATGACTTAGTTTAACTATTCTCCCAATTATAAATTATCACCCAATTTCATCTACTACAAGTGATCGAAAAAATAAAATTAATAACACATACACACACACACATATATATATATA